TAACCGACGGACGCGGACGAGGGCCTTAACGGCGACGTATTTTATACGCTGGCGAAGGAGCAGGACGAGGGGCAATTTACGATCGACGAGGCGACCGGACAGATATCCCTGGCGAGGGGCCTCGACCGCGAGACACGAGACAATTATCATCTGTGGGTCGTGGCGCACGACGCGGGCTTGGAGAGCCGGCTGTCGTCGAGTGCGATTGTCCACGTGGAGGTGCTCGACGAGAACGACAACGTGCCCCGCTTCGTCGATAGCAGGCCGAAAATATCGATCCCCGAGACGACGGCCGTGAACGTCGAGCTGCTGAGGTTCCGGGCCACGGATAAGGACCTCGGGCCGAATAGCGAGCTCGCCTACGCAATCACCGCGGGCAATAGACGCGACGCGTTTCACGTCGATTCCACGACCGGAGCGCTCTATCTGCGAAAGCCCCTGGATTACGAGGAGCTCGAGACCTATCGCTTGAACATCACCTGCAGCGACGCCGGTCACCCACGACTGAGTAGCGTAATAACTCTGCGCGTCGACGTAATCGACACCAATGACAATCCGCCCGTTTTTCCAAACACCGCGATAGTCCGTCAAATTCTCGAGGGCATTCCCGTGCACAGGCCGGTCGTCACCGTGACCGCCGAGGATCCGGATTCCGGTGATAACGGCGTCGTTACGTACAGCATCGCCAGCCAGGACCCTGAGGATCAGAAGCGCCGATTCGGCATCAATCCGACGACGGGAGTGATTCACACTCTCTTGCCGATCGATCGCGAGGAAATCGACACCTTCAAATTGGTCGTCGTCGCGTCCGACATGGCCCAGCCCCACTCGGCCCGACTCTCCGCTGAGAAACTCGTCATCGTCATCGTCACCGACGTCAACGACAATGCCCCCCTCTTCGTCAGCATGTCCGCGGCAATATTGCCGATTAAGAGCAGCATCGCCTATCAGCCGGGCGTCGAGCTCGAGGTCGCCCAGCTCAGGGCAAGGGATTTGGACTCGAGCACTAACGGCCTCGTCACCTACGAGCTACTACGTTTGGGCGCCAATTACACGGATATGCTCAGGATACATCGTAACAGTGGAATTTTGACGCTGAGGCTGCCACGCTCGTCCCACACATTCGAAAGGATCTCGAAGCTCCAGGTGGGCGTGAGGGCGACCGACGAGGCCGTCCAGGCCGAGCGGCGATCGTCCGAGGCGTACGTGACGTTAATATTGCCGGGCGAGGGTGACGATTCGCCGATTTGGGAGCACGGTGGGCGATTGGAGGGTAACGTTTACGAGAACGAGGTCGCGGGCACGAGTGTTTTGCGGGTTAGCGCGAGGAGCCGGCGATCGAACGAGGAGCTGGAATATTATGTGACGAATGTGACGGCTGGCGAGAGCGGACAGCAGGCTGACAAACTGTTCGACGTCGATGCGAAAACGGGAGTGTTATCGACGGCCGCAGCTCTCGACCGGGAGACCAGAGTCGAGTGGTACGAGGTGGAGATTTATGCGATTGTGACCGGCGGTGGGAAGCCGAGTACATCATCGACTAAGGTAAGAGCCACTTGATATCGTTAATGATAATCGGATTGTTTGATTGATTAATTTTAATTCAAAATGCCGATTTTGCGGGTTGGCGTTGGCGGTTGGTGGTGGGATGGGGTGGTTGGAGGGGGGGGGGGAACGGCGGCCAACGGGGCAGAAACGAACCGCATCGATTCGCAACAAAGTTACATCATCGGTTTCCTTGGCCTCGCCGGATATTCCCCAACTATTTGATGATTAATTAAACATTTGATTGAAAAAACAAAAAATTTGATTGAAAATTCCCCGACGGTATCTAGTTCCATGGTCATTTACAATTATCCTTCGCGACTATAAATTAGGAGATATTGCTTATCGCTAAGTAAACGCAATATAAAGTTTAGAGGCAAGTGTTATTCATCGTTTAATACGTCGGGTAAAAATGTTGCTTAAGAGGAAGTTCGTAAAGAACGACGAGGTGCCGCAATGATTATTTCTGCCTTTCGTAAATTATGATATTTAAGTTAATAGAAAAGCCATAATTGCCATATTTTTCAACATGTTTAAAATATCATTATCCTTTCGCCCCTTTACGAAAGCTTTTCTTTTCTCCATTTTGCGTTTTTCCTTCCCTTTATATTTTTTTTTCATTCCTTCTTTCACCCCTTTCCTCCTTCCCCTCCCCCCCCCTCTCTCATTTGTTCTCTCTTTTTTTTACGTCCTCCTCCTTCTCCCTCCCCCCAACGCCTCGTTTTTCTTTTGTATCGTAAATTATCATAATTGGCTTGCGTAGTACAAGACAATCTCGGGGGTAATTCGAACGCAAATAAGGTGCCTATATCACATGTGTGTAGCGCCAGCCTTCTTAATATCATTTTAAAGCTCAAAAGTGAAGTTTCGAGCATTGTTGTCATTGCAAAAAAAAAAAAAAAAAAAAAAAGACAATGAAGAAAAAAAGAAAAGAAAAGAGACTAGAGACCAGAGACAGAGAGAGAGACATTAATAATGGAGCCGGGCGGTCGCATCTCGTTGCGATTCAAACGCGGTGTGTCAAGACGCATATTCACAGCCTCTCTAAAAAGCTAAAAAGCCTTCGTTTAACCTGCAATATATTTTACTACAATGTCACGTACGTTAAAATTCAACTACTCGACGTATAAGAACGCTTAAAAGCCGTTGTGTGTTGGCTTACGCGCAAGTGTCTATTTAAATTTACCGGTGAGCGCTCGTCTCGAGTAAAAAGAGAAGAGCCGAAGGTTTTTCTCCGGGAACGGCCGGCTCGCGAAAATACGGCGCATTAACATAATTCCTAATTACGAGGGAACTGCGCGAGGCAGGGCAATTAGTTCGCTCGCAGCTACTAAAAACATCCGCGCGATTACTCACGAACGAGGGCTCTCGCGAAAACCGTAAGCGCAGCACGAAAAACGAACCGGCGCGAGTGCGCCTCCCTCCATTATTTACATAATCAGCGACTAGAACGTAACCTGGGACAACGGGACGGTCCGTGCGGTGGTACGGGGGTGGGGTGGAGGGTATTACTGGGGTACGTGCGGGCGCGCGCGTGTATCGGCGGGGGGGTGGGGGGGGGGGGGGGGATAGGGGGACGTTCGAGGGCGGAGACGGTTACGGAGGAGGAGAGAGGAGTTGGAGGAATTAAGTCATCAGGCGGCTCTCGTGCATCATGCTCCCTCTCGGTGTTTTACATCTCTCCGGTGGCACTTCCCACGCGAGTGAACGCATCCTCCTTCCGCCCCCCCCGACACCCCTCTCTATCCCAATGTCGCCGAGCGCGACCCGGCCCTTTGCCGTACCCACCCCTCCCCCCGCGCTCGTTCTATGGTCAGTCACATCCCCTCTTCACCCTGTTTCCCGTCGGCGCACGGGGCTCGGAGATCCGGAGGAGAGAAGCGCCCCTTTGAGCCCCGCCCCTCCCTCCCTCCGGCTCCGCTACCCAACCCCACCCGAGCTACTCGCTCGCTTTCACGGGGTAATGAACCGTAGGCGTAGGTGGGACGAGTGCGAAAGAAACTATGTGTGCGGGTGCGCGAGGTTGCATAATAATGCCGTGGCACGTAGTTAAAGCAACCGTGACAGAAAGTAACGAGCCGCGAGCGCGTTACTTACACGGGCCCATGGAGTCGATTAATCGCGGCCCTGGGGACTTGGGCGCAACGCGCGTCCCTGTTTCAAAGATTTCATTTGCTCGATTGTAAAATAGCGGGTGGTAGGAGTAAGATTAAAAAAGAAAGGGAAATGAAAAGAAGGAAAAAACGGCTACGTACGGGGAGGCTGATTGCGAGCGGCTACGTGCGCTTAGGATGACTATTAGAACTTGAGCTTGCCGGCGCTTGCACGTTCGCACGCCACCACGTATTTTCGCTCTCTCTCTCTCTCTCTCTCTCTCTCTCTTTCTGTATTTTTTTTTTTTATTTCGCGGCTGCTCGTTTTCTTTATTTATCCCTCGTCCTTTTTTGCACGATATATTCGGTTTACTAGAGTTTTAGTCTTGATTAATGGTGATTGGTTTTTTGTTGTGTACTGAATGCGAGATATTGAAGTACGTAAAAAGTATCCTATGCGAAATATATACGGTGTATTGATTAATGGATATACATTCTTTTCGTAAACAGTCTTGTAAAATTCGCCATTCGAATACATTTTGAAATAATTTTTGCTCCCCGCTCGGTTTGATAATAATTTTTCACATTCTCTTCCTTATCTTGCGCAAATTATATTATTTTGCGTGATTAATGATTATTTGCTCAGTGATAACGACAAAATTAATTATTGAATAATACTTTGTCGTTTATTGGCATTATAAAATCTCTCGATTGTAGCGGAATAACCTTCTAATGAATTAACTTTTGAATAATTCACTAATTGCAAAAGGCCTATGCAAATATTAAAAACAAAGGAAGTAAATAAGAAAAAAAAAATTTACTATACAACTATACAAAGTTTTTATCGCGTGTGCATTACGAGTTTTAAAATACTTTGGTTAGATAATGAAAATGTGAGTAATCAATATGCGGAAAGAACGGTATCACGTTTGCTTAATTTATTATGTGATTGGCAAAACAGAAGATGCCGTTTCTATTTTTCCGCGTACTGGCTAATGAAATGCTCGACTCCTCCATACGTCATTTAAAGCAGTACAAGCACCTAAATATTGGCCGAAATTTATATAAATTAATTTCATAAATTGTATATCTCTTGTATAACTCATACAGATAAAATAAAATTAATCTTACATTTTCATTAAATCACATGACACAAAATTCAAGTTAACCTTACGTATAAGAAGCGCAGGTGAAAAAAAACGCCGCAAACATTTAAAACCGACGGAGATAAAAAGAAGTGGAGCGCGCAGCAGAAAACAGAAAGAGAGAGAGAGAGAGAGAGAGAGAGAGAGAGAGAGAGAGAGATGGCGTGCAGAAACGAAAAGTTGGAACAGAAGAGAAGGAGAAACAAACAGACAGAGAGATGGAGAAAGCACGAATGAACGTAAGAAAGAGATTGGGTAGGGCACGGGCGCGGGAGAGAGCGAGACAGTACATATAATACGCGCGGGCGCTCGCGCGCGTGATAAAGAGATGAGCGACACAAGACGATGAGAGAACCGCGTGCCAGGAAGTCAAGTTGTATTCGAGTGCGTGTACCCATCGCGGCTCCGTGTCCCTCCCCTCCCCATCACTCTCTCTCTATCTATCTCCCTCTCTCTCTCTCTCTCTCTCCCTCTCTCTCTCTCTCTCTCTCTCTCTAGCTCTCTCTCTCTCTCTCTCTCTCTCTCTCTCTCTCTCTCTCTCTCTCTGGATCTCTCTCTCTCTCTCTCTCTCTCTCTCTCTCTCTCTCTCTCTCTCTGGATCTCTCTCGCTCCCATACTATCCATCCGTCCATCCGTTCGTCCAGCCATCCATCTCTCTCAGGGAGAGAAAAACTTGATCTCAGTCGAGCGCTCATACGCCGAACGGACCTATAGTTAATACCCGTTGCAAGCTGAGCGACATTGCTGCCGTTTCATCGCTAAGGATTCTCTGTTATTTTAAACTCCTTGGCCTCCTCTCCACTTGCCTCCCACCCTCCTCCTTCTCCTCCTCCTTAACCTCCACCTCCTCCTCCGCCCCACACTCCTTAACTCGACCTGCAACTTCCAGATCTCGAGCGGGCGAGCAGAGTTTTGCTCACCGACCCTCCTGCCGTTAATTCATTAAAGGATCGGCGTGAATGGGCGCGGGTGTTGCCAAACTCCCGCTTAATTACGTAATCCCGAGGTAGTGGAATGGGGATGAGAACGGGGACGGGATGGGGTGGAGAGCACAAGTTTTTGGATTCGACGACCCGATTATTTATACGCTTGCTTCGTTAATTGCACCTGTTTTTGTCTGCCCATTTTCCCTGCCCATCGAATTAGCTTTAGTCTACAGGTTCGCCGCAACTGCGATTGTCAAGCGGACCGTTCCGTTTGATCGGCAGGTTTCCGCCCAATTTTGCCCATTATATTCTATATAATAAGCCCTCGTTATTATTTCCTCCAATATGGATGCAATGCAGCGATATTCAGCGATATTGCGAGTCCGAATGAAAATTTCACTTTTCACGCAGCACGCGCTGTCATAAATATCGCCAGTTATCATCTATAACGCAACGACCTAATTAATCATTGGGTGTTTTATCTATTTCGAGGTATAATCATTAAGTGGTTGAAAAGTGCACGGACGACAAATGTACAATTCGCCGCTTAGCCCGAGGCGAGCTCCAAGTAAATCGACGCATGTAAATTGTGTAAGAGAGGCCTGTCGCTCGAAAGGTATGATTTTAATAAGTACTTTAATGAAAGTTGGCGGCACCCAATGTTGGTAAAATCCCGCTATTTTCACCAACTTTCTTGTATTGACGATACTGCGACGATAGGCCACTTGCGTTTTTTTTTTTAATTTAAGGTTAATTTGGCTATTTCGTGGAAAGTTTAGAGTTAAATAATGCCATAAAGCAACGAAGGCGGAATGTAAAGTATTTCAGTTGCCTAGCCAATTATACACTTT